TAATAATGCTGGCCGAAATTTTGTAAATCTGGCACTTATGTATGACGTGTGAAAGTTAACATGAAATTTGATTTTCTATAACTTACGTAAAATTACATGTAATTTATGTAACACAACCCTAGTCAAGACTCATGTCATCTATCACCAACTAGACCAAAAATACTTGTCAGATATTATCCAGCTTATAGACTTAATTTAACACCGGGAGTAGATTTTGATATCAGCTCATCAATTGATTACTTAATCTATATTGGTATACAAAATTAAAGCGTTTAGTCTATTTAACTATAATAAGTTTAATAAAGTTATTTAAATTAATATTTATATAGCATTTTGGCCAAATGATTTGTTAATAATGGCGCAAATCTTAATGCTGGCGGTGACCTATTTATACAACTGTTAAATTATAAGATTTAAGGTAAATAATAAAGATTAAAGAATTTATATATAAAGTAACTAATAATTATTATTATTACCAAATGATGGGATAATTTAACTAAATTCTTAATAAACAGCCTCTGGATCCGGATCTGAGTTGGTATAATTCGAATAGCACACAAATACGAAGTTCATTAGTGACTTAGTTAACATTGTTACTGTTAATAGATTTGACGGAGTAAGATTAACTAATTTATTTTATATTACTACGTAATTATTTGGGCGTCGCCAATAATTCTTGAATTTGGGATTTTAACGGAATATGGCTTATCTGCTCCGAATAAGTACTAAGTATAATTTTAGCGTAAGCTCTAGAATTTAAACCCTAACTTTAAAATCAGCTTAATGTGGGCTGATATGATAAACAAAACCTGAAACAGTTTGAGCATTCTTGAAGTGAAATATGTATTCGAAAATCAAGGATTCACGGTTTTTTCTTTATGGCAGCCATTTATTAAATAATTAATTAATTACTTTCTGTCAACTTGTAGATTGACATTGATTATCCCTTTAAATTTCCGTGCAGTCCTTCAATAGGATTCAGTGAACCCGATTTTTCTAATTTCCTAAGTGCCATTTCAGCATGATTAGATAGTAATAGTTTATTACAGCTGTTTTCAAAAAGGTGTGAACAACGATTCCCACATACCTATGTGGGGAATCGGAAATTATCATTAGTAAAAATTGAAGATCCGATTAGAGTTGGCTTTGAAAGTTTTGGAAATCTGGGTAATTTCGTGAATTTCCCGTGATATAGCTATTTGCGTCTGTTCACACCTTTTTGAAAACAGCTGTAACAATTACGGCAGGCCAACCTATAAGGGGAATCAACCAAAATATCATTAATTTTATAAATATTCAGGTAAATATTTCCTTTATATAATAAGTGATACTACAAATATTTATTTATCTATAAAATTTTAGGCATTTCATCTTAATATAAATAACACGTACGCAAGTGCTGGAATAGACGGAATCTCAAATTTTACATGATTAGAATTTTATAGTTCATTCAAAACTCGTTTTAGGCGTTGAATTTGGAGGAATTGTCGAAATTGTCTCTTCTAATAGTATTATATCAGACATTGAGAATCAAAAACTTCAGCTAGTAAATGACTCAAATTTTCTGTTCCCTTTTGCTAACGAACAGATTTCAGATCAATGTAAACATTCATCATATGCATATTGGTCTTGGGAAAATTTAAGTCGTCAATTATCATCATTTTGTCCTACCAATTTAATTTCATCGTCACAATGGACCTATGGTTTTATTAGCAATGCGAAGCAACCATATCTTTACCGACAAGACTCGTCTTCAAAATACTACTATGTTACTTTCTATGAAGATTATCAATCGTTAAATGCTAAACTCGATTATATAAAAATTACTAATTTAGCAGGAATCGCGATTGCAGACATCACCAAAGATTCGAAAGATTTACAATTGACAAACTTTATTACGGGAATTCCACCAAATAAACCGGGAGGAAATGGAACTACGGGTACCTCTCTACCTTCATCATCTACATCTCCGCCCAATATAGGTGCAATAGTGGGTGGTGTAATAGGTTCTATTATTTTTGTTAGCGTATTGGTAGCTGTTGGCATCATATTGTATCGAAGAAGACATGGAACGAAAATGTCTAATCCACTTATAAATACAAATAATCAGACTTGCTCTGATACAAATCCTCAGGTTTATTCTGATATAAATCGTCAGGTTCATCCAGATACAAATAATCGGATTTACTCAGATACAAACCATAAAGTCTTCTAATTCTTAAAATGATGACAATGTGCATATTTTAAAAAGATTTGTACTATTAAATAAGTGTCCAACATGAGATTGGCTACGCATGAGACAATAATTAGCAACTTAATAACTCTAGATATAATGAACTATAAATTTAATTTTCTTTTTCTGATCTTACTGTAATATAGATAAATTTGAATCAAGATTCTTCTAAAATAATATATAAAATAACGTAGTGTGCAATAGAACATTGAGATCTGTTATGCTTAATAAGATATCAGTATATATAGTGATTGTACCAGTATATGGGTCACCCTTATAAGATTGTTAACTGGATCATAGTTGTTATTGCTACTAGGTTACATGTTTAAAATGCATTAAGTTTATAATTATTTATCATTTATCCGTGTTAATTTAGTCCGTGAGTATAAAAATATTTAACCTGTGAAATTAAACATGCATTGATTTAAGTTAACGAATAGAGAAATTAAAAAAATCGTGTGGCATAAGTAAAATAAACCAATATTTAAGACGGAAATATATACATTATAACGAATACAACACGAATGAAGCATAGTATTTGTCATGAACAAAAGGATGGACAAATAGAAATAGAATATTGATGATTGCATGAAAGCGTTTCGACTTTGAGGCATTGCATTTGGTAATGAATGGATTTCATTGATAAACTTCAAAATATTAAAAGAATTGAAGAAAAGGGATTTGGCACTATTTTCTCGACTTGGTTGAATGCGAAAAATTGATGATAATGAGTTTAATTAAGAGTAAATGAACCACCTAGTCATTACAGAAATTACACCCATTAGGTGAAAAATAGAAAAAAAAGGTGACCATTATACTTAACCATGTCAACCGGTCACCCGAATTATTCGAAATGACCCGGTAATGAATTTTTAAACGAGTGGGTAACCCAGAGCTCAAATTTTATACGGGTACAATCCCTAGATATATAATACTATGTAGAATATTAATTTTGCATTCATCATTTATATAGAAATCATGTAAAGTAAGTACATTCAAATCCAAGTTTAAGCTGATTAATTATACCTTGAAAAATATTTCCACTTTCTTTAAAATTATAAAAAACATGTGATTTTTACAAAATATAGCTACGTATCTTATATCGTAAATGTAGGCAAGGATTTTCTATAAAGGATAATATCTATTTTAAACCTAATAATTCGTGAATTTTGACATCACTAAGAAGGAACTATAAAGTATCACCTTCATCTATCCTTGTGCATCAATTTTAACCTCGTATCTCCTTGCATCTAACTTTTGTGACACTACGATATCGATAATGGCAAGAATTAAATACTTATGTAGAACAATTCCAATCCTAATATTCATTTGTACCTTTTTGGAGTTTTTTTCCTGAAGAAAGACAAACTATCTACCTTAATGCTGTTTTTTTTTTTCTGTGCATCCTATCCTATATACTCACGTTCCGTTTTTTATGTTAACTCTGTACTTTATATGCCACTATAATAAATATGAAGATTCGTTTCTTACCGTTATATAAGTTGATAGTGCTTTTTCTATACACCTTTTTTATATTCGTATTGAAAAAAAAGGCAATGAGTCAGGATTCATGCAACCTATCACCAAC